CACACCCGGACTTAGGAACTCAAAACTTTCTAATGGAAGTCACCTCATGCAAGTTCACATTGCCCAACCACAGGCAGCCTGCCTTCTGCATCCTTCAGAGTTAGTACACTAGAGTTTTTTTATTTCCACCTCGGGCTTGATCTCCAAGTCTTCCACTGGGGGGAAGAAACCAGGGTTTCTTTCTTTCTTCTGGGTCAAGCCCTGACCCTGGACCCAGCAATATTGAGCACTGAAAAATATTTATAACTGGATAAGAGGTTTCTCTGGTACACCCACCTACTCAGTGTCACTGAGTTGACTCAGACTCATAGTGACCCTGTATAGAGTGGAACTGCTCTCTAGGGATTCTGAGGCTATAAATCGTTACCAGAGCAAATCGCTTCATCTTTCTCCCCAGGAGCAGGACCTCTGACCTCACAGTTAGCAGCCCAGGGCTTAATTCCCAGTACAGCACCGGGGCTCCTTCTCTGGTCCACATAAAAAATCTAGTTTTAGAATACACATAGGTGTGGTTTTTCTTGTGGTTGCTGTTAAGTGCCATTGAGTTGGTCCCAACTCATCGCAACCCCGTATAGGCTTTTAAGGAGTGGCTGGTGAGTTTGAACAGACCTTGTGGTTCAAACCAACCTTGCAGTCCACTGCTTTATCCTACAGTGCGACACTTAATTGCTGTCAAGGCAGACCCTGATTTGTGAGGACCATTGTGATGGATAGGGGATTTCTGTTGCTTCATGGGGTGAAAATATACATAACAAAACAGGTCATCTCAACCATTGCTACACGTACAGTTCAATGACATCAATTATAGTCTTTAGATTGGTTTACAGTCTCACTTTCCTTTTCCAAACCATCCCACCTTTAACAGAAACTCCATGAGCCTAATCAAAACCCTGTAATATTCTGATTTCTGTTCGTTTATTTTGTATAATTAAGATCACACAAGATTTTTTGCAATTGACTTATTCACTCCACCTGATGTTTTTCAGGCCCACCCATGCAGGAGCATGCTTCAAGATTTCATTTCTCATTATGGCGTAGTTGTCTATTCATCTATCGGTGAACACTTGGGGGACCATAGGTTTTTCATTGCTGATAGTTTGGCAGAACATCTCTAGACCTTTCTTAGTCTTAGTCTGGAAACTCCACTGAAACATGTTTAGCATCATTATTGTTGCTAAGTGCTGTCAAGTTAGTTCCAACTCACAGCGATGCTGTATAGGGTTTCCAAAGAGCACTCCTACACAAACCTTCAGTGACAGATGTCTGGGGGCTGCTCATGAGGTGCACTGGCTGGGAATCGAACCTGGGTGTTCTGCATTGCAGGTGAGAATTCTGCAACCCCTCAGCTAAGTTACAAAGAGGTAGTTTATTCAGGTTTCAAAAAGTTTAATTTAATAGAGCAAACCTTAATTGGAAATATAGCTTGATTTACAAAACGAGGCAATTCCATAAGATTCCTTTTAATACACGAAGTCAGGTGAGGTTCACTGTGGTTCATGAAATGCACAGGTCCTGCTGTTTCCTTTTAGTACCTGGTGACACACAGGAGAAATCTGAAAGACTGTCAGATCCCAAGGGCTCACAGGCATCTAAGGATTCCGGTATGACTTCTCAAACTCGCTCCTTATTCCGGGACTTCTACCTGGCCATCCTCGCTCTCCCACCTGTGTCAGGACCACCAACAGCACAGCACAGGGAACTTGCTTCACAAGAATTTTCCAGAGTGGAAAGCCTGCGCTGGCCAGTGTGGAATTTCCTCTGTAGATAGGCCCCTGGAGGTCCTTTCTGGACCCGGATGGCAGGGTAGCTTTCCGTGGCTGATCTCCCTCGGCAGGAATCCACTAGGGAAAGGCTTGTCGAGGCCCTGGGGGCCACCCAGCCATGCAACTGGACACATATACTTTGTAAGCACTGGTTTCCAACAGATAAATGTAATCAAGGTTTATGTGTTCAAAGAAGCCAACAGGATGGGATTGTTTCACTTGAAAGATCAGAAGAAAATTGTAACTAATGTTGTGGAAAATTACTTTGATATTGCTTTCTTGGTACCGAATCACAATTAGGCTGCTGTGAGGAATACAAGGAAAGAATAAATATGAATAGTAACAAATCAACACAAACAGCTTGTGCCAGGAGTGCTTTGCTCAGGGAAAGGAACGTAAGCATTACTTAAAATTTTACGACTGTATTTTGCTGTGAGTTAGGTAAAACTCGAAGGTCTGCTCCTGGCCTGGCTGCGCAGAGGGTGGTCCAGCCCTACTCAGTCAGAGAGCCAGGTGTGCTTGCTCCCTGGTTCTGCAAGGCTAGTGCTCACCTCAGCTTTAGGATACCCTAGATGCCAGCTCCACCAGAGACTTCAGGCCTCTCCAAACCAGGCACTCTGGCTAGGAATCCGGGAAATGAGGAGGGAGGTGTGCACAGGACCTGCACCCTGAGATAGATGGAGGGTCCAACCATCTGCTTTACTGGCAGGACACTCGCCTACCCAGGAACATCTGTAGATGAATGCATGGTCCCCATCCAGCGGACGCTGCAGACATGCTCATCCTCTCTCCCAGGCTGTCCACTGTAGGTACTGACACCCACACGGACTAACACATGTGTTCCAACCCCACACATGACACGGCCCCTTGAATTCATGTACCATCTGTCCCAGCAGTGTCTGGGTACCAGAGTTTGCCTGAGACCAGCTGACACACAACCACAGAAACCAGCTCTCCTCTGCCTGGATGGCACTGTCCTGTGGGGCTGGTTCTGCTGACACCGTGAGCATCCTCAGCAACCCCAGGGCTCTAAGGAGGTTGCAGAGCCCGGGCACAGGAGCCAGCTCAGTCTCTGGGGAGCAGCCGGATCCACATTTGACAGCTATGACCTGTGAGGTTTCTGCCAGGCATGAGTCAGCATTGATGGCTCACCCGCCATCCCCCTAGGGGCCACCTACCCTCCTCGGCTGCCTGACCCATTCTCTGTCATACTAGAACCAACTTGACAGCCTTGCTGACAAAGGGCATCTGGTGGCAACTGCCAGGCCCAAGGGCTTGGAGAAGGGAGGTCCAGGGTCCTGGTTCTGCCACCTTATGTTTCCCTCCTGCCTTCCCTCCTGTGGATCCAGGCCCCTGGTTTGCACAGCATGTTTGCAGAAGCAAAACCATTGGGATCAGAGAATGAGGGGCAACACCATGCGGAGTGCGAGTGGGTAAGAACTGAGGGCAGGGCAGGAGAGAGGCTGCAGGCCAGGGTCCTCATGACAAATGAAATTGTGTTGATGTTGTGGATGTTTATATTGAAGTCCTAACACGTGGTATTTATGAACGTGTCCTGGTTTGTAAATTGGGTCTTTGGAGATGTTACCAATTTATATGAGGTCATAATAAATCCTAGTGTAATCTGAGTGATGGCCTTATAAAAGAGAAAAGACAGAGAGAGATTGGTGGAGGGAAGACAGTTGTGGATGTTATTGAGACAGCTACAAGCTAAGTAACAGCAGGGGCTACCAGAAGCTGGAAGAGATAAGAAAGGATCTTAAGAGTCTTCTGAGGGAACGTGGCCCTGCTAACACCCTGGATTTGGACTCGGAGCCTCCAGAACTGTGAGACAATGCATTTCTATTTTGTTGTCGTTGTTGTTAAGCGCTGTTGAGTCGATTCTGACACATAGTGACCCTGTATAGGGTTTCCAAGGAGCAGCTGGTGTTTGAACAGCCGACCTTGCAATAGGCAGTCCTGTGCTGATCCTATAAAGCCACACTGGAAGTCTAAGCCTCCCAATTTGCTGGAATTTATTGCAACTGCTGTTCTGAGTTGCCTGCAACTGGATTCTGACTTGTGGTGCCCCCATGTGTGCAAAGTAGAACTGCCTCATGGGGTTCTCATGGCTGTTCCTTTCAGAAGCAAAGTGCCAGGCCTACCTACTAAGGTGCCTCTGGGTGGATTCAAACCACCAACCTTTCAGCTAGCAGTCCAGTGCTTAACCATTTGTGCCACTGACAGACCTTTTGTTACAGCAGCCTAAGGAAACAAGGCAGAGTTCTTTTTGCCCTGCCTGAAGGCGAGGGCCACATGCTCCTTCATGGTGTCCACCCTCCTGGGTTATGTGAGGTGGCAGGGAAGGTTCAAGAATCCCTCCACCTGAATCTCAGGTTTCCACTGTCCTGCGCTAGCTGTTACTGCCTCACAGTGCTGAGCAAGAGTGTGTGTGTACATGTGAGTGGATCCCTGGAAAAAAAGGGGATCCCTAGAGGTGTATAAACATATCTGTGCTCTGGAGCATGTGGGCAGTAAGCAAGTGTCTTCAAGGAACTTCCCCTAACAAGGACCACAGGACCAGTGCTGAGACACACTACAGTTCTGGCCTGGGAACACCACCTTCCCAGCTCTCCAAAGGAAAGCTATCCTTGGCCTTGACCGCAGGCCTGCTGACCTTCACCACTGCCATGCTCAGAGGGGGCTGTGGACTGGTAGTGTGCAGCTGCTTGCCCGAGTCCCCTCCCTGTATTTTGTCTGCCTCAAGGCAACTGCCCTCCCAACAAACCAGTCGCCCCCAACAGAACACAGCCTCTGTGATGGGATGATGAAGCAGGTAGGGGACCAGCAGGAGGGGTCTTGGCCTCACAAAGCCAGGAGGTAACCCAACCCCCTCTGCCCAGGCTGGAAGTGCTGGACTCAAGGGGTCCTCAGGGCTGGGCAGGAAAATTGAGTCACACTTGGGGATCAAAGGCTCAAGAAGATGTCCTAAGCAATGTGAAACAGGTCCCAAGAGGTGGCAGAATCCTCCTTAAATCTGAGTTTCACCAAAGACCAGCAACCCATCAACTATCACACCCAGAGGGGTTTGCCTTGATTCCAGCCACTAGCTGGAGGTCAAAGGTGGTGGCCTGACTTCAGACACAGCACTGTAACACTGAGACCCCTCTGCTGACTCGGCCGCGTGTCCTCCAGCCAGAGGGCCTGTGCTCAGCACAGCAAACCTCACTCTCAGGAGGAAAGGTGTGTGGAGCTCACCTGGTACCTGCTGTGGGGCAAGCTCTGTTGGGTCCTGCAGGCTGATGAAGAGGAGGAGACCAGCAGCTCCAAACAGGAGGATGGAGGAGAACAAGCAAGCCAACCGCATGGTTCTGGGTTGCATGGGTATCCAGGGCTCTCTCCAAGGTCACCTCTGGGCTGTGGGAGGCATGTTCTTCCCTCATCATCCACACCAGGTATCCATCAGGCCACGTCTACAGGGAGGAAGAGGAGAAAGATGGTTCATCACCTAGCTACAGGGCGCCCCAGGGTAGCTGGGTCCCCATCCTGCACATGACCCAGGTGTGACATGACCCTCTGGAGGGTGTGACATGGCCCTCTGGAGCTTTCTCAGGTGTGTCTCTGGCACCTTTTCAGGCCCAAGAGGAAACAGAGGGATGTCGTCACCACCACCTGTACCAGGAAACCAGCTTTCTGCCAACCAGGACCTCCTGTATCTGTGCTCGCCCCCAAAATGGAGGGGGACAGTTTCCAGACACTGGCCGAGGGACCAGTGGCTGCTCTTGGATTTGTCCTCCACACAAGCATGAGTGCTCCCCACAGGGTATCTAGGGCACAGGCAGGAAGCCAGCCCTTGTCCTTCAAAAAGGGCTGCTGGATACAGAGGCCCTTGAATCTGCCTCTGCGGTGACTCTGGGGATGTTGGGGATGAAAGCTTTAAGAGCAAGCCTCTCAACCCCAGAGGATGAATCCCCCACCCAGTCACTTCCCGAAACCAACCAGAGCTGTACCACTAACGGGTTGGTGGACATAAGCACCACTGGGCAGCCGCCTCAGCAGCAGCTGAAATTTAGCTAGACCACAGCTGCCCTGCCTCCTTATGCAGCAGCCAGACCTGCCTCTGACCCAGGCATGGAAGCTAGGCATGACCTCCAGCCTCGTGGATGGGCCACTGGGTTCCTCTTGAAGGGCCAAGAAAGAAATTCCAAATACCAACCATGCCGTCCAGAAGAACACGCCAATTGCCATCACATTGATTCCAACTCATGGTGAACCCACATGTCAGAGGAGATCTGTGCTCCACAGACTTTTCAAGGCTGGGATCTTTCAGAAGCAGATCACAAGACTTGTCTTCCAAGGTGCCAATGGGTGAGTTTGAACCACCAACCTTTTGGTTAGTAGCTTAACCCTTAACTGGTTGCACCACCTAAATACCAACCAGTGACCTCCCAACTGGGCCAGGCTGTGGGTTGAGAGGGGCCAGGGCCCTAAAGCCTTTTGTCTAAGGAAGGATGGCAGTCCCTATAGCTGGGTGCTGAAGAGGAGTCTGCAGGGACAGCCTGGGAGGAAGCCAGCAGGCACCTAATAAGACCTCCCTTTTAAGAGATGGCCTCTCAGTCCCCTTCCCTTCATCCAGCCTTACTGGCCCAGGTCCAGAGATACCACCTTCTTTCCACCCAAGAATCCCTTGTGAAGGTCCCCATGCTGACACTGGTCAGTGCCCAAGGGAGGCTGAGGCCAGGTGGCAGCTTCCAGTGGCTTCTGTGACAGAACACCTCCTGTCCAGCTGTGCTGTCTACAGGAGGACTCAGGAGCTGGGCCGGGACCCATCTCTGACTGGGCAGCCAGCCACTGAGAGAGAAACCCCATTACTGGCCCGGAGCAGAAAGTGATAAAGGGAGAAACCCCTGCCAACCTGGCCCAGAAAAAATTCCAAGGACTGGCATGCTTCTTAGAAAAGCTCAGGGACTGAGGAGTATTAAATTGCAGGTTTGGGTTTCTTTCCTCTGCAGTCTCTGTAATTATTTTTTCACTCAGTTAACTTTAATTAACCTGCCCCAGGCCTCAATACACGGGGATGCACTTGGATGTGAGCTCTCTGGGCCGTGCTGAGTAGGTGGTTCCCATGACTTCCAGTGTGGCTGTGCGTGAGGCCTCAGAGAAGGGTTTCAGGGTTTCGGGGCCACAGAGACAACACCATGCCTCAGGCTGGCTAACAGATGACAAAGAGCAGTTACATGTCCACAAAGGTTCAGATCCTGAAGCCCCTTCCTCCATGGATGCTCTGGATGGAACTGTCTGGGAGCCTGGTTCAGTGTCTCTGGAAGATCTGGAAGCACAGGTCCCAAGCATGCCCCATACTTGTGGTTGTGTGGGGAATTCTGGTGTCCTGGTCTCCCAGCTCCTCTGGCTACAGACAGGTCTGTATGCTAGACCCTGCTGGGCCCACAGGTGCCAGCCTTGAGCTCCCGAGATCCTAGGGAGGAGTGAGGGATGCTGAGGCAGACCGTCCACCCACAAGCAGTTGGCTTAACCCCTTGAGGTTCCCAGGCAGGTATGGAAAGGAATATACACCAAGGTAACAGGGGCAAGATTCTTTGTGAGTGAGCAGGGGAGGGAGAGAAAGACTTGGGCAGCAACTGCTTCGTGAATATGGTCACATATGCACACACACATGCACACATTGACACATGGCTGCAAGCTCACATCATTGGTGGTTCCAGAAAAACACCTTCTTGAGCCCCCGATGGCGCTGACGATGGTACTGACACATTCTCTGCAGCCACACCCGCCTCTAGAGGCAGGCAGAGGTCAGGATGCCAATCTGATCCAAGGTGGCCTCTAACACCCAGACATTTCATAAGAAGGGAAGGAACACAGGAGAGAGAGAAGGAAAGAAGGAAGAATGACAATTGTGTTGGCTTGATGAAACAGCTGGGAGAGTACTACCCAATACAGGCCCAGTGACTCTTTGTGGACGGACAAAGGAGACTTGGGCACCTGGGATCATCGCGCTCTTTGCACGGAAGCTGGTTCTGCAGAAGTGACTACTGATGAGCAGGGAGCCCATCTGTCTAGCTTGTCACTGTCCCAGCCAGTCCAGACCTCCTCCATCAAAGAAACTGCCCACAGCCATGCCCCTTCTCACCTGTTTCTGCCCAAACCAAGTCCACCATGCTGGATGCACAAGCAGGCTCTAGTTGTCCATGTTCCTGGCAGCCAGGGCAGGGGTCACACCCTGACCCCAAATCTGGTGGAGAGGATAACACAACCCCAGTGGCTGCTTCTCTTACCAGAGATCCTCTGAGAAGGCAAGGGTTCTCTCCCAGGCCTAGGGGAGCTGGTTTGAAGAGTAGCATCTGGCACCCCCTGCCCACCCTCAAGTACCAGACCTGTCTTCTTTTCTGTGGCCCTCCTCTCAGTTTCTGCTTCCAGTGGAAACAGTGGCGCTCAGGTGGTGCAGTGGGCTAAGCATTCGGCTGCTAACCAAAGGCCAGTGGTTCAAACCCACCAGCTGCTTCGAGGGAAAAAGACGAGACAGTTTGCTCCCATAAAGACTTACAGCCTCAGAAAGCCTAAGGAACCATTAGACTCTGCCCTTCAGGGTCACCATGAATCTGAATTGAACCGACAACAGTGGGTAGTAGAAGACAGAGCCCACCTGACTAGCTGACTTCCTGTTCTATGCAAATGAGCATCAAAAGGCTACTCTGCATCCCTCCTGGGTCTATAAGACCCGAGAAGGGGGCTCACATCATGGGGTCCAGAGAAACTTCCTTTCCCCCAAAGGTGGAGATGCATAGGAGGTTACCACAGGAGGCCCCTACTGTCCTCTCAAGGTTCCCTTCTGTCAAAGTCCCATACTGTTTTCAAGGCAGTAGGGGAGATGCGGGTCCAAAGGCTATCCTCTCCTGGGACCGGACACTCCAATCCATCCCAGGCCAGAGCCTGACTGTCCAGTGCTCAGAAAACACATCCAGAGACGTCCTTCCCACCTGGGACCATTCCATTCTCATCACACACAGCCGCACATTCAGCTCCAAAGACAAGTTCAAAGCCCTCCCCTCCAGCATTCCAGATAATAAGGAAATTCAAATTACTGGGGGAGAGTAGGGAGAAGAGGTTGTGGAAAAGAGGGAGGGTCAGAGTAAGAAAAACAAAATAGCCCCTTGAGTACCCTCCTCCCAATCCCTAGCCCCCCAGCGGTTTCTCTCTCCCTGAATGGCGTCATCAATTTTTACTTTAAAAAAAAAAAAATCCAATTAATCTTGTCAACACCTCCTGGGAGACTCAGGGCAGGGCCAAGGATTCATCCCATTTTCTTATTTATTAGATTTAAAAATTTGTCTCTGGGCAATTCACTTCAGGGAAGAAGCAAGGACTTGGGAATTCAGCCAAAACACACGCACCTCCAGTGGTGATGGGCCAGCAGGCAGGCGGACGGACAGCTCCAAGGACACGCTGGGCTGCAGCTGCTCCGGGGCCTGGATGCTCCCCCGAATCACCCCAAGAACCCCCTCTGGCTGTGGAGACCCAACCCCTTATCCCATTCGAGGCAGCGGGAGACACTCAGCCCCCTGCTCAGGGAAGCACCCACTGGGCCTGTGCAGCCAGGACCCAGGAAAGTTGTCTGCCCAGTCAGTTCCTTTCTTGCAAAGGCAGGGAACGAACAATGACGTCCCTCCCGGCTGAGGGCTCCAGGAGAAGCTGTTCACTGGGAGAGAGGCTGCTATGGCAACTTGAGGAGAATGGAGCCAGGCACTGCTGCCGTCACCTTGAATCCGGCACCGTGCGTTCCGTGGTGGCAGCCAAGGGGGCTGCATGCCTCCACCTCTCCCTGTGCCGCAGATGGCGGTTGGCGTCTGACCCCTGGCTTCCCTTCTCAGCCTCCTGGCCTCGGTAACTAATCTGCTTCTCACTGAAACAGAGCTCACAGCCCGGTCCCCCGAGAACACCACCTCCATCTGTTTTGTCAGACTCATTCTTGTGTGTACGGCTCCGGTTCACTTCTGAGATAGGGTTCGTCTTGATTTCAGCTCATTAAAATCCTGCAGCTAATTAAAATAGTTTTAATGGTAGTAGCAGCGGCAGCAGCAAACTCTAGGACGAGTCCCTCCAGTTTTTATGCATAGGCATAAAGTTGCAATGCTCAGCGAGGATGATAAATGGCTCAGACTTATACTCCAGGCCCAGCCCACAGGCTTCAGATTCTCTCCTGCCCCTTTCACTGAGAGCAGGGAGCGCTGACCTGGGTCCTGAAGTTCCAGGGCCCTGTGCTGGGGAAAGCAAGATAGCCCTGCCTTTCACTCCCCTTGTTGCAGGGCGGGGATCCTTCAAACCTCCATGTCCTCTGTGGAGAGGGCGGAGAGAAACGGGGTGGTG